TTTGCTTTGAAGTAGAGACTAGCCCAATTATATTTGAAACATTTCTGTGTTTGAGATTCAGTTCATGAATTATATCTTCTTGGCAATATTGTCTCAGGTGAACAACTTGATTTGTGTTGAGAGATTCTCAGATTTTGCACAACTTGGAAGGTTTACTCTTTGAACTGACGGTTCATGAATTACCCTTGGCATGCCGTGTGTAATTTGGATTACTGTCTACAGGAAAAACAGTTGCAGTGGGAAAAGTCATGGACATTCCTTCAAGTGCCAGTGCATAAAAAGATTTTGTTGTTAGAGGTGAGAAATTAAATTTATAGTTCATTTTGGAAAGTACAATCTCTAATGGGATATTTAATGAATGGCTAATTCACTCATGACAGGAACGTCCACCGGACTTTCCTTATGAATGGATGTAAGTTGCAACACAGAATCATCTTTAATGATGTTGCTGCATTAACAATATATTGATGTCTTGTGGAGAGGTGAGCTGCCGGAGCCAAAGGTGCTAGGCATTGGTACTTTTGATATACTTATGGGTATTTAATGTTTAACTTATACACCCATTGGCATTTTTGGAATACATGATTGTAATACATGGTTTTCACATCAGTTTGTTGAAAATATTTAGTTGTGATTTGGGCATTGCTTGCTATGAAAGCATTTAGTTTGCCATTTAGGTTTTGGTACAATATTTATGAGTGTAAAAACTTATTTACTGCCCTTTCATCGTCTATGGCATCCTGGTGATAAATTGAACTGGCTGATAGAATACAAAGTGATAGCCTTGCTGTTATTTTGCATTATTTGGTAAGAGTACATTTAGCCATCTAATCACAACTTATAACTCGAGTTAAAACTACTAATAAGCAAATGCCGTCTTAGTTAGAGTATAAGTGTTGAGCTTAATATTTAAAAAAATTAGTTTTTTTGAATGCACCAAATTAATGTAAGGCGCACCTTTAAGGTAATCAAGAAAGAGATTAGTCTAGAATTACGGATTGTTTTGAAGGTACTCTTAACAGTAAATACCAAAAATAATCTGGAACCTAATTTGCCTGTCTGGTAATATATACAAAACATCAAGAAGGAAAATTGGCTGAAAGCATCGAGGTGGAGTGAGCCACTGGCTCAATTTGCCAAGGACGAGGCGAGCTCTCTATTAATCACATGGATTAGCATTCCTGTTATTAGATGAACTTCCTTTTGTAAATATGTTGGCAGCTTGAACTTTTAATTGATGAAAATTATTAGGCGAATTAGAGTCATAAATATGCTAATTTAGCTTCAATGTGCCATTAACAATATGGTTATGGTGAGAAAAAAAAAATATTTAAAAAAAAAATTGAAAAATGACAATTAATTTGTGATAAATTTTAAGTTAAAAAAAAAATAA